ATATGACTAATTTCATTCAAAAGTATAGGATTCATCGCTATTTACAGTGTTTTCGGCTGATACAATATGTTCACGAAGATGGCACATGAAGCATTCATGAAGATAAAACAGGTTAGGCGTAGATCTTGGGGGGGGGGCTACCATATATATATATAAGGTTGTTGGAAACTTGCAGGCTGCGAAAACACGGAGTAACTGATGGGTTGAGGCTGTGAAGCAGAGCACAAAAGAAGTTGCGAGCCGGGGTTGGGTGTTCAGGTTTCGGGCTTAGCATGGTTCCGCATCCGGTTGTGCAAGGATCGTTTGCCAAGGTGTTCGGAAATCTGGGGTTACACTCTTCTTAGCCCTGCTTGCCTAGCTATAATTGGATCTGTACTGAGCTTCATGTCACGGCCCCTCTGCCAGTACACGCGCTGGGCAGATCACACTTTGGCCTGAAAGAGTACGGAGCCGGCCTTGGCATTTAGGTTGACCTTCCTAGATCTTTGAGGAAGCGCACGCCCGATCGGCAACTTGGGTGCCAGCCTTCACTTGCAGTTGGGGAGGGTGTGCTGCGCGAGACGGACGAAGGTAGGTGGGGTCACTATCCACTTCCTCCCTTGCAGACGCGCGTCTTCTTGTGGACCACAGTTTCGTGGAGCACGTCTGGGATCTTGATCTTGTAGCTTATTGCAATATGTGTGTGAAGGATAAGGGAGCGACCCTGGAGCTAGGTGTCGGCCGCCTTCAGCCACTCCTCCTCGCAGTGTGCCAGGCCCTGGTGCCCTCTTTTCTGTGTTGAGAGAACGCAGGCGGAGCAACACCAGGGAGGAAGGCTTGCCATGTGGCACAGGGGCACCGCAGGGCCCACCCCTCACGCGGGTTGAGGTCTGACGCAGCCGCCTCGTTGCAGACGGGGCATTCTATCTGGCTCCAGTTTGACAACAGTAAGGAGTTTGACCGCCTTGTTCTCATCCGCCTCTCCTAGCAATTCCCTCCTGCCTGTTCAAGTAATTGTCTGCTCACTTTTCAGGAATCGAATAGCTCGAAATTAGGGGGTTCTGGTAAGCCCTAAAAACTGTGGTCACGAGGGCGACGCTTTATGAACAAAATCACCCCCCCCCCCCTCCCCCCAAACTATATACCAAGTTCCAGTTGCTCTGCAATTCCCTACGTACACCCTGAATCCTAAACTCTACATTGCCGTTTCAAGTTTCCATTTCCTTTCCGACTCCTTCAGTCCCTACTAACAATCAGCCAGCAAACGCCAAACCCTTATCCCCCTATGAATCTTACATAAACCCAGTTTCTGCTTCATTTTTAACTTTCTTGTCTTTTTGATTCTACACTATTGAAATATCGCATGAGCGCTAAGCCCTCAATGATAAGGTAGCTTCTATTTTCTTTTCCACTCCCTTAGAAGCACTATAAATAAACCCAGGACCCAGGGTGCCCTAAACCCCACGTATCCGCGCTAGAACCCCCATACATCCCCCTACAACTCCTGTAAAGCCTGAATAACACCCTACAACTCCTTCCAACCCCTATACAAGCCCTAAACCCGTGAAACCGGGGGCGCACCTTGCTCAACCACTCACGGCCTTGCCGAACGCAGTCTTCTGCGACGCGCCTTTCAGCACCTCCATGGGATGGGGATCATGTGATAAAAGGTTCCGTGAGGTCAATCTTCGACCCTAAACCCAGGAACCCTGTGCCCTAACCACTGCAAACCCTAAATCCGGAAACCCCTAAGCTAAACTCCGAATCCCCAAATCCTTATACCCTCAACATTGGCATCAGAAAACCCTTTGAAGGCTCCGGAACTTTGCTCTCCGAAGCCTCGGAGACGGTGGGGTGAGCCATGCAAACTCGAGCCAAGTCCTGTGCAAGGTGGGCTTGACAAGGGCTACGGATTTATGGGGGTGTAGGGGTTTGGTAGGGTCTAGGGGTCTACTTAGAGTTTGGGAATAGACAATCTCTATGCAAGGCCTGTGTCCTCGCAGTTGTCATTTCATCTCGCATTTGATTCTCCATTGTTCGAATCCTTTTAGGTCCCTAGGCCCCAATATGAGCTATAGTCTAAA